TTCCTGATATCAAACTTTCTGAGCTTATTTCTGGGGATTCTTGGAATCTTTCTGATAAAATCCCTCAATCGCTGCATCTGGTTTTTGATGGGATTCAGATTTCTGTTGACTCTGGTTCTTGCTTGTTATGGAAAGATAGTAGCAAAATTAGATTCAAGTCTTTTATAGATGAATTTTATTCTGATTTGTCTGACTGCCCGTGGGTTGATATGCTATGACATAGAAGACACATTCTTAAACACACTATTTTTGTTTGGCTAGCCTTAGTTGGGGGTTTAAAGACCGCTGCTGCTCTTCTTTCTAGACATATTCATGTCCCCCTTCGGTGCAGTTTATGTTATACTCATGTGGAATCTGTTTCCCATATGTTTTTTGAATGCCCGTTCTCCTTTGACATACTTAAAGGCATTATCCCTGGGATGGAAATTTTTCTTTCTAGACCTTCTATCATGCAAGTTTTTGACTGGTTAACTGGTGTTTTTTCTGAAAAACATGAAGTTCTAAAAGCTTACAACGTGGCTGTTTGTGGTATAATTTATTATATTTGGAAAGAAAGAAACAATAGAAGATTTGGTGGGAACCATAAATGCAGGTTCACTGTTTTGTTAAGCATCAAAAGAAATCTGTTCCTGAAGTTTTTGAAATGGAAAAATCACACAGAATTGCTGGAGTTACTCTAACGTGCTGGAGGCTTTACTCGGGTCCCTGTCCCTTCGTCTCAGCCTGCTGGCCTAGACTGGACGATGATGACGCTCCCTATGCAGGCCCCTTGGACGGTCTTCAGGCAACCAGGGTTATTCGACAGTTATTATTATTCTGAGTCCAGTCTTTTTTGGCTTGGGAGCTGGTTCTCTGTGCTGTCTTCTTTAGCTAGTTCAATTACCGTTTTCTTTCATTTTTGTGCAGCTTGAATTTGCTGCTTCCTTTGAGTTTTTATTTAGTTCAGGAATTTTAATATATTTTAAGTGCAATGAAATACCATTGAAGTTAAGGGTGTCAATTATTACTAATTTTTTTAATTTTTTGTCATCTTATTATATAATTGCTTAAATTTAAATTATTTCTCTCTTTGATATATTTTGAGATTAATGCAACACACAAATAATTTGTATTGCATTCTTCTCAAAGGACTTTATAGTTCATCCTCACAAAAATTTTGATTAGGATATTCTCACCTTTGTTTTTTAATTATACTTGCTTTAAGATTAGAGCTAAATGAATTTATATTGTACCAATCTTAATTAAAGTAAATCAAATAAATTTTAAATATATTTCAATATAATTTATATTAGAATATTTTGAAATAATTTTTATTCTTCAACAAAAACAGTCAATCCTTTAATGCTGACTTATAAAGCAATAAATGTCTTGCAATTATTATTTAATATCTTAGATAATTATGCTATGAAATTATTATATTAACATATCCTAATATTGAATTGAAGTACTGGAAGAAACTTTCATGTAATTGAGAGATTTTATAAGTAACAACATGTTGTAAAGATAATGAAATTCATGCCAAGATTTTTAAGATAATAATTTGATAGTTATATGAAGATTATTATTGCGGACTAGAATATATGCGGCGATAGAGTTATAAAATTTCCGTCTCAGCGTTGTACGGATATCTAGCACACAAACATATGAGAAATAATAACACCATAATTTTTTACGTGGAAAACCATGGAAAGGGAAAAAACCATGGGGTCACGCCCAGTTGAAATAATTCAACTAGTGTTTGTTTAACGTACAAGAGGCTGACTTGTACTTAAAATTTAGGACGATCAGATTACAATGCTTCACTTCCGAATTGAAATCCAATTATAAGCCGAATTCAGAATCACTTAGAATTCTGACGACACTTGGAAATTGGGCAGAGTTTCGGCGTCACTTAAGAGTTGGGCAGAATTCTGGTGTCACTTGGGCGTCGGACAGAATTTCGGCATCACTTGGGCAGAATTCCGATGTCACTTGGGCGTCGGGCAGAATTCAGGCCTCACTCGGGCGTTGGGCATAAATTAATTCTGGCGGTGGTCGAGGAGGAGTTTCTTCCCTCCTATCATTCTCTTCTTCTTCTCTTCTTTCTCTGGCTTTCTTATAGTGGAGTCATTCCACTATTTTATCTATATGACTTTTCCTACTTAAATCAGCACCCCTCATCTTGTACAGAAGTTAAAAATTTTCTCTTCTTTCTCTCTTATTTTTATTCTTACAGTCGAGGCATTCCACAATTTTCTATTTCTTTTCTTTCTCCTCTGATCTCCAAATGACTTTGGAGTTTTGCACGAATACGTCGGAGTTCTCCCTGGCTGCCGACTGACGTCAGACTTCTATTCGTCACCGGTCCTGAACTCGTCGTCAGATTTCTACCCGATGTCAGACTTTTGCCCGACGTTGGACTTTCGTCGAACATCTATCTGATGTTGGATTTCTGTCTATTGTTGGACTTCTACCCAACTACAGTGCTTCCGACCCCCGTCACTAGACAACGATCTTTTTGACCTCCGTCGTCCGCTGATTACGGTCTTTATGACCTCCGTCGTCCGCCGACTACGGTCCTTTAACTTACGTTGCCCACCGACTACAGTCCTTCCGACCTCTGTGACCTGTCGACTACGGTCCTTCTAACTTACGTTGCCCACGACTACGATCCTTCCTACTAAACGAACACATTAACAGTAACTCTTTATATTACCACTGTGTAATGCATTTCATATGATGTACATCAATCCAAGGCCTTCCCCCTAAAGGAAGGGCCTCATTTGTAATCGACTATGAATAATAGTTGATTCATTAAAATTGGGCTAGACCCCGTGGTTTTTCCCCCTTTTCAGGGATTTTCCACGTAAAAATATTGGTGCATGTCTCTCATAAATGCTACACCTCTCTCTTTTTATCTGTATGCGTGTCGGATCTTCGTGCAAAGCTAAGCCGCTAAACTTTATATTTCTCTACCGCCACGAATACTCTAGGACTCAACAGTTTTGCGCCACATATATTCTAGTCCGCAACAATTATAAACAAGGATAATTATAAAAATAACACTCAAATCTTAGTTATTTACAAAATCACCACCAATGTTATATTTTGTGCTATCGAATTGCTTTATTTACGCATTCCTCGATCAAAACTCTGGGAATTTGACATGAGAAAAATTAGGGGTTAGGGCTTTTATTTGAATTTTGATATTTGAGTGTCAATTTCAAAAAATGGAGGTAGGAGGGTGATAATTTTGTAAATAGTTAAAATTTGAATGTTATGTTTTTAATTGCCCCTAAGAAAAGCTAACCTTACATTATAAATAACACTCAAATCTTAGTTATAGACTTATTTATGTCACATCTACAATAAATTGTGAAAAATCAAAGAATAAGATGGATAGATAAGATATATATGGTAGATTATGGTCATATGAATATTATTATTTATTCATATGATAAAATTATAGAAATTAAACAAATTATAAAAACAAATTATAAAGTTTAGTAAAGATTAATTGATATTATTTTTAATACATACTCCTTAAGCTAATAATATGTATATTTTAGTAGAAAGATCAAAACTCGGACTTGTTGTATGATAGAAAAGTCCCCCTAAAACTTAAGAGAAAATTCTATAAGATGGTGATTAGACCTTTAATACTTTATGGTGCAGAATGTTCATAATATTAAATTAAGTGTTGCATAGATGAGGATGCTCAAGTGGAGGAGTGGCTTTACTCTTTGAGACATGATACGAAATGAGTATATACGTGAAAATGTTGGAGTATCTTCAGTGGAAGATAAGATTAGAGAGAGTTGCCTTAGATGGTTTGGTCACATAAATCGGCGGCCTGACCCGATTACGATGTATTAGATTTGACTTATGTTAAGAAAGGTAGAGCTAGACCTAAAAAGACTTAGTTGAAAAATATTAGAAATGACATTTCTTTATTAGATTTAAATGAGAATTTAATTTTTAACATGACATAATGAAGAGAAATGATTCATGTATAGCCGACCCCACATAGTCAAAATAAAGGTTTATTGTTGTTGTTGTTGTAGTACTTAAGCTAAAAATAATTAGATTCATCATTAATACTAATTTAACACCAATTACATTTTGTTTTATCCAAATTTTGCTTTATTTTAAATAGAATTGAACTAGAGTTTGCTTTGATCTAATTCAATTTGAAAAATATTTCGATTGATTTACTTTTTAAAATTTTAAAACAAAAATAAATTGATTTAGCTAATCTTCAAGTTAAACTAATCAAATCAGCCAAATGCAACTCTCAATTATAAATAAAATTAATGATGATGTATTAATGTTTATGATGTTCTTAGAGCTCTATTAATTTTTTGAATTAAAATGGATTGCGCTCCAATTCTTTGAGCTTTGGTTGGAAATAAATTTGAGAATTTTCGTGGGCTGAATTCGAGCACTCACTTTGCCCAAGAAAAAAAATTAAAATAGATTATAGTGATGATTAATTTGATTTTTAGGGATGAAGCTTTCATTAATTAAGTCTCGCTAATGCAATGTTATGAAGAAAGAAGCAAATTCTAACTTCATAGATTTTAATCATCTATTAAATACTAATTATCTTTACTATTGTGGTATTTAAAAGAGGATTAGTTTTTACTAAATAATATTAGTTTTTAATAATACTTTAATCCATTGTAATAAGATTCTTATTAATCTTTAACTAACTTTTCTGATTAATCATTAAAAAATATTCATATAAAAATTAAAAGAGAATATTTTGATTTTTTTTTCTTATTCCATTCTTAAAAAGTCTGGTTAAAGGTCTCTTAAGGACGAATTTTTATTACGTCATCTGACCGGACGTAGCTCTACATTCGGTTAGAGGATTGTTACTTGGTTTTTGCTCGGTATTTGGTCGGTATTGCTAGGTATTCTTTGGTAATAACGAGGAATACCGCTCTGTGAAGATCAATACCGAGTAATACCGAGCAATGCCGAGTAATCCCAAAAAATACCGAGTTTTGCAAAAAACTCGGTATTTTTTGTATTTTTTTTGGTTTTTAAATCTCTCAGTTTCAGGAGCCCTTCGGTACCTCTCATCCAGAATCCTGCAAAAATAGCGAAATAAAGGATCTTTGCTTCTTTTCTTCTCCTCCCTCGACGCCGGAGAAATGTTTGAGACTTCCAAGGTGAAAAAAAAGTTGTTCTTTTGATTTCTGATTCTCTTTACTAGTTTTCTGGGAATTTTTTTTACTGTTGATAGAAACAAAAACGATCCATAGTCTTTTTGTGGATCTCTTCTGGAAAATGGGTATTTGCTGTTTTTGAAGATTGCGAGGAATTTGGAATCAAAACCTTGCTTTTTTGTTTGTTTTCTCATTTTTGTTTTGCTCATGGAAGGAGCTCAGTTTTAGCTCTCTTTGTGCCCATTTCTGCTTGTTCTTTGCACCATAATAGATCCTAATGGTTCATCAGTGGTGTAATCTCTTCTTATTAGGCAATGGATGTGAGATTTCTGATATGGTGTTTATTTCTTTGCTCTAAAAAATACATAGAAATCGTGAGAATCGTTTGATTTTTCCAGTTTCAGTTGAATCAGCTTTCTTGTTCCATCAATTGTGTGGAAAACACTTCAACCAATCTTTTTTTCCCTTTTGTTGTGAGAGGAAACCATCAAATTACAATTTGTTAGAAATTAGTAAGTGACTGCGTTCGAATCCGAATCACTCAGCTTGCCTCTGTTCTCCTTCATAAGGCTTTTGGGACAGCTTTTGGCCACTGCTTTTTCGCCGCTTCAAAGAAATTTTTATATTGAAAAGTGCTTTAGAAAACAGTTAGAAAACGGTTCCAAACGAAATCAGGTCATTAGTTTAAGGCTTTGTAAGTTTGGGTATGTGTCTGAATTTGAGATTAATTTGGTTGGAAATCCATGAAAGGAAAAGTTTATCTTCTTTCTTGTTTTGAGTCTTTTATGAAACCAAAGAAGAAAGCAAAGTGTTTTTCTATAAATTTGCTCACTCCAAAAGCCAAGATCAGCTTTTGTTTTATTATTCACAAAAACTCTGTATGTTATCTGTTACCTCTGAAAAAAAGGAAGACATTGAAGCCCAGTTCTCCACTTTCTTGTTCCTAATGCTTGTGTTCAAAACAATAATATATTCATCTCTCTCTCTCTCTCTCTCTCTCTCTCTCTCTCTCTCTACTTTTTCATTTTTATTTCCAATTCCTAAATAAAAACAAGATCAAAGTAGGCCACTCTTGCTTTACTTATGATGATTATATGTAAGTCTAATGCTTTTTTAACATCATGAACATTTGTCAAAAAGAAATTATTTTGACTAATCATTTTCTTATACTATCATAACTTCTTTACCTCTTTTATGAAGTATATCATATCTAGTCCATTCTAATGGGAGAGGATTGTCTTATTTGTCAAATTGTCTCCCAATCTGATTTCAACAAAGGAAACAACCCATTGCAATTAAAAGAGGTGATTTTGACATTTTCATGTGCCAAAGTCATCTTCCACATAGCATTAGCAGTTATGAAGCATTGCCCTTTTCTTATTTGATTTTGATAGAAATCTTCAATTCTCTTATCTTTGTTTCAGATCTACTTTTGACTCCATTAGAGGGGAACTGAACAAGCTTCAACTCTTAAGAATGGAGGGAGGAGGCACATTCTCAGGCACTGGCAATGGAAATCATATTGAGAACAAAGTTGTTCAGAATTTTCAGAAGAGTTTTGTTCAAGTTCAGAACATCTTGGATCAGAATCGCCTTCTCATTCAAGAAATCAATCAGAATCATGAATCCAAGATCCCCGATAACCTCAGCCGCAATGTCGGTCTCATCAGAGAGCTAAACAACAATATCAAGCGAGTCGTCGACCTTTATGCTGACCTCTCCTCCTCCTTCGCCAAATCTATCGAGTCTTGTTCCGACGGCGATTCGTCTGCCGGCACAATGCGCTCTGATGCTAAGAAGAGAATTCGATCGAGCTGAAGATTGTATGATGCTCGAGAAACCAGAGAAATCTTTTGGCAAAGAGACAATAATGGTGGTAAGGATCGAAATCCTTTTGATGATTGATAGCATTCATAGATTGACAAAAAAAAAGAAGAGGAAGAGGATGAAGGTGTGTGAGAGTAGAAAAGCTCTTGAGTTGAAACATAATTATTGATATGATCCCATGTAATTGTTTGAACTCCTTGCTATCTAATTGGGATTGAGATAATCATTATGGATGGTATCTATTGAAGATAAGATTATGAAAAATAGGGTTTGTGCTCATTTGATTATTTGGGATTAAGGTTTCGTTTGGGTCAGCTTTTGAATTTCTTTTTAAAATGATTTTTTAGTACAAAAAATTCAAATTCACGAAATTTTTATACTAAAAATCTGTTTTAAAAAACAAGAAGAAAGCCATCCTAAACCAAGCTTTAAAAACGCATCTTTAAAAATTAATGTTGATTTTAGACTATAAATACACCTTCGAAGCTCATGAAAACCGATGATTTCACTTCACACTTAAAATACATGAAAAGAAAATTATATTCTTTTAAAAAATTAATTTTTTTATTGGGTGAATTTATATACATATCACTAAATTCTAATTACATATCTACCACTCATATCTTTATATTTATTTTTATAATATTTTAGTATCTAAATCAGATCAAAACTTATCAATTAAGATATTATAATATTAATGAAAATTTTTATATAATTTAAGGTTAGATTGCTATATAAATAAATATAAAAATTTGAGTATGTAATATGTAAATATATAATAATTAAATGAAATTTTTTATTTGCAAACAATCAGATGAATTTATTGGTGATTTCTATATGAGTGATTGAGAATAGATAGATTAATCAAATTAGCTAACTAATATTAGACTTTTTTTTTTTAAAATACATAAAATCAATCTCACATCTCAGACAACATTCAATAGCATTGAATGTAGAATGGAAATCTATAAAGTAAATTTTAAATATTTTGAACAGAACTGATGATGATAATGATCAAAATCTTAGCTGTGCTGAGCAGTTGAGGAAAGCTTGGTTTAAATGCAGTTATGTAGCAATTGGAATTACAGAAAAGTGGGCATGAGAGAGAAAGATGAAGAGATAGAGAGAGAAAGAGGGAGAGAGATAGAGAGAGAAAGAGGGAGAGTAGAAAGAGAGAGAAAGAGAGAGAGAAAGAGATCCCAAGGAAGAGGACAGAAGTAGTTCTTTTTGGAAATGGGAGCCACACCATATGCTTATCTTCTCTCATTGATAACTTAGCTTTTGTTTTATTTCCCCATTGATTCCCAGACTACCCTTTCTCCAAGTTGATTGTTTCCTTATGTCCTTTCTTTGTGGACCAATCATTCATTGTAATTAACTACTTGGGAGACCCCTCCCTTCCTATAAAGTTTATAGGAAGATTTTTATTTCAAGAAACTTATTTGAAGAATTTTCCTAAGTTTCTACAAACAATTTTTGGTGAAATATTAGGAATTCCTTTTTATCTTAATTTGTTTATTTATTGTAATAAATCTCTTTTTTAAAGTTATAGGCTAATTTTTTTATTAAAAAAATATATTAAAGTATTTTGATATAAAATATATTAGTGCGAACATCATAGATTTTAAATTTATGTTAAAATTAGTATGATTCGGGATATTATATAGAACACTAATTTTAGTACAAATTCAAAGACTTTGAAGCTCATTCTGATGCATAGTGCAGTTGAATAACTTGACGTAGTTTTTTTTTCTTTTTAATTAAAAATGTATTAATATTTTTACATTTTATATTAATGTAAACACACCACTATTAATATCAAAAAGGACTAGTGTAATTAATGTGGCGTGCTAGAATACCCAAATGTGAGAGTGATGTGATTGTAATTTTGAAGAATGATATGAATTTGTTTTAAATATGAGAGAAATTGAATTAATTTTGTGGATTTTTTAACTTTAAATTTCTAAATATGCATTCAATATTTTTTTTTGGAAAAGTTTTTTATTTATAATTTTGTTATTATTTGGGAAAATATGTCTAACCCAAAATTTGGCTCATTTTAAAGCAAATAAGGAGGGAAAATTTTTACATTAAAATAGAAATGTGTAATTAGTTGTATTCCCCTTTCAAGTCAATCTTAATACAATTTATATTAGATTAGAGATTTTATTCTAATTATGAAGCCAACATCTACTTTTAATATCATTTTTTAAGAGAGAGAGAGAGAGAGAGAGAGAGATAGTGATATGTTTATCAAATTGATTAAATGATAGTCAAGTCAGCCTAACTAAGCCGAACTAAACTAATTTGACTCATACATCATATAGATATTAAATCGTGTAATTTTTAGATCAACACTATTTGTTTAGCCTAAAAGTAATCGTTTTAACTAGAATCCGGCCCCATCTAACATGAACCTGAATTATAATCAGATTAGTTTTAGGTTTTATGTCAACCCCAATCCAGCACAAAAAAAATAATCGGGTCTAAATTTTCAACCTAAACTCTACCTGAAAAATTAATAGAGTGAAATCATTTATTAATACTCTCATAAATTTTTTATCTTTAAATTTTCTTTCTATTATGTACATTATAGAATTTTTATCATTCTCTAAATTTGATATTTATATTTTTCATATATTTTTTCTTAAATTTAAATTTTTGATTGGGCCACTAAAGAGTCACATGCATAATGCATTGGGCAATAAGGAGAGTTTTAGGAGGAAAGAGGATTGGTACCAACTAAGCTAGACAATTTTCTACTTTTTAGGTTAAATAATTAATATAAGAGACAAATGTGAGAGAAGCTTTTGTTTTTTTATTTTAAAAAAGGTCAATCAATAAAGCAAAAACTTATAAAATAAGAATTATAAAATTGCCCTTTGGGGAGTATATGAAAAATGTAAAATAAATACAAGAAGACCATAAGATAACAAATTAAATACATATTTTTAGAACATTTATTATTAAATTTAAAATTGATCTTAAATGCTGGTTAATTTGAGTGGTGAAATATTACTAAATTATTTTAATTCTCTCTATAATTATCCAAATATTTGTTTACCTTAATTGCTCTAAATCATGAGGACATTGGGTCTTTGATGTGAACTAACTATAGATTTGTAACATTTCTAAGAATATTCTCTATTGATGTACATAAAATTCAATGTAAAATAAAAATAGCATATTTGAGATATTTTTGAGTTGTTTGGTTGAGCGTAAAGTAACTACAAGATATTCTTTTTTATGCTTGGTTTGAAGTCAAATAAATTCAATGTAAACCCGATGGTAATGTCAGTCAATGAGTGGTGGCAATGGCCAATATGTGGCCTATAGCCAATGGCAGAAGGTAGCGGCGGTAGCAACAATTTGTTTAAAATTTGATCAAATCGATGAATTTTGAATACATTGAAAATAAACTAAGGCTTCGTTTGGTTATTTGTTGCTTTTGTAAAAGAGAGTTTTAAAATATATTGTTTTAGAAAATTGAGTTTTGGAACGGAGAAGTATATATAAAAAGCTTTCTTAAAACAACAGAAAAATGAACAAAACGGAGTTATTGGGAACGTGAATTGACGAACCAAACAATAAAGAAGAAACAAATTTGCCGTTTTAAAACGTCAAAAACTTCCAATCAAACGAAGCCTAAATTGTGAGGCTTCTTTTGAGACTATTATTTTTACTACTTTCTAATACAAAAATTTTTGAAACTAATGAAAATGCAATGTCCAAAATGTACCAAACGAAACTTTAATTTTAAATATAACAATAAATTAATTTGCATTCATTTTATTTTATATATTTTTTCCAACAAATCAAACAACCCTGAATGAATTTAGAATACCATAAATAACTAACCCTAATGCCCCAGCTACCAACTTCTTAAAGATCTCATATATAATATCAGTATGACTTATGTAAAGTTGTTGTAACTTCTATAGTTTATTTTATGGTCTTTTTTATAGATTTTTCTAATATAAAAATTTCATGTGCTACTTCTTACCCTATAAGATATCAAATATTGATTTTTATTTCTAGTAATAGCTTTGTTCATATGATCTGATACAAATCAATTCAGTATGTGCAAGTTAAATCTAGTGCAAGAGTAATAAAACCTAATTTTAAGTCCTTAGTACTAAAAATCTGCTTTAAGAAGCAGTAAAAAAATCGTCTCAAACAAAACCTTAATAAAATCAAAGCGCAAAAGTACTTCCATGACTCTAATTAAAATCAACATTATTATAAATCTAACCTAATCAAAAGACAACAATAAAGCAATTAATATAATATAAATTTAAGAAAACTGGAATCCTGTTACTAACTCAAGTGGGGAAAATGAAGCAGTCTTTAAGGATAATAAGAACAAGAAGACTTAGAAAAAAAAAGTTGTTTGTGAGAAGAAGAGGAACACTCATGGTTACCTCTCAATCAAAGAGGAAGACGAGGGAGAAAAGGCTAATTGTTGGCGCCTCTCGATCGAGGAAGAAGGCGAGGAGGGGAATCTTTATCATCAATTGTAAGATTCAAAAACAAATAGAGAGGGAGATCATAAATATTTTGGTAGCTCTGATTGAGAGAAATGGCGATTTTGAAGAGCGAAGGCGATCAAGGTCAAGAATGTGTGATCTGCATGAATAAAAGGCCAAAGAGCTGGTTCAGTTTATTAGCTTCTTTTTTAGGGTTTAGTATTGCATTTCTATCATCTATTCATAACCATCATGAATTCCCCAAAGTCAATTTGTCAAATCTAATATTGGATTTACACTCAATCAATCATAGCTTGCTTTTCACCAACATCGGATTAAAGCTTCGTTTGGGACAGTTTTTTGCCCCAATTTTTTCGATACTTCAAAGAAATTTGTATGAAAAAATTGTTGCAGAAAACAGTGAAAAAAATATTCCAAACAAAGCCTAACTCATGATATAACACTTAAGGATGACATCCTACCTAACCTTTATTTTTCTTCACAATTGGATTTAAACTATAGTATGTCACTTAAAGAGTCACATTCTAACTAGGGGTGTCAATTTCGGGTCACAGGTCTGGTACAGGTTAAACCCGAAATTGACCCGGTACTATTCGGGTCAACCCAAACCCGACCCATTTTTTACAAACGAGTCAGTTTTAAAGACCCGAACCCGACCTGCTTCAGATCAGGGTCATCAACCCGACATGACACGAATGACTCGGTTCCAACAAAAAACTGTTAGTTTTCAGATAAAAAAACGGGTCAATCTCCGCTTTTTGGGTAAAAAACGAGTCA